TACGCTGAAAAGACAACAGTAGACAATTTGTTTTCCATTGCTGGTTATGAATAACATATGATGTCACGTAGCTGCTGTAATGGCCGCGTGATTTTGAAATTCCGAAATTTTAACACTGAAATCTGGAGGGATTTCTGCCAAAACCTGCTGGGTTCCGAGATTTGTTCCTGAGTTTCTGGAATCATGGCCGTTAAGCAGCTTGATCAGGAGCCAGAAAGGCCATTAGTGGGCGATGACTTGGGGTCTCGTTGGGGTGGGGAAGACAGGACTGGCTCCACCCCCATCCCGTGAGGCCCAAAATGTCTTGTCACTTCGGGTCCAAACCTGACTGTCCCATGGCTTCTGGAGGATGACGGCCTAGATACATAAAAATTTACTTTATTATTTGAATGATACTCTCCCTAACTTTTAGTCATGTAATTTTCATGTAATAGAATCTAATTTATATTATGATAAAATTACATTTGTATTATATCGGAGAGCCCGGCAAGCTACCGAGAGTATTCGATATGCCAAACACAGTAACAACAAAGTCTCCAATGGAGACGTTACTGGGCCCGCTTGAGCAAATCGATGATCAACGGGAGGGCCTTTACCTTTACCTTATTATGTATATTATATATATCACATATATATATATATATATATATAAATCAGGGGGTTGGAGCGATAGCACAGCAGGTAGGGCATTTGCCTTGTATGTGGCCAACCCGGCCGACCCGGGTTTGATTCTTCCGCCCCTCTCGGAGAGCCTGGCAAGCTACCGAGTGTATCTTGCCCTCACGGCAAAGCCTGGCAAGCTACCCATAACGTATTCGATATGCCAAACACAGTAACAAGTGTCACAATGAAGACGTTACTAGGCCTGCTCGAGCAAATCAATGAACAATGGGAGGACAGTGACAGTGATATATAAGTAAAGTAAAGGCCCTCCCGTTGGTCATCGATTTGCTCGAGTGGGCCCAGTAACGTCTCCATTGGAGACTTTGTTGTTACTGTGTCTGGCATATCGAATACTCTCGGTAGCTTGCCGGGCTCTCCGAGAGGGGCGGAGGAATCGAACTCGGGTCGGCCATGTTGGCTGCGTGCAAGGCAGACGCCCTACCCGCTGTGCTATCGCTCCATATATGAAATTTCTATATCATCCTCAGTATTTAATTTTAAAAACTGAAACTACAAAAAAATCAAAACTACTTTCCATAAAGAAATACTTCCATTTTTAACATTCAGTGGCAGTTGGTTAACGCCTATAATAAAATGTACTTGAAAACATACCCCTCCATACAAGATTATTGACTTCCTGAAATTATTTCCACTTTTATTTATATCCTATGGCTTATTGAAAATATATAGCCTTGATTATACCATTCTTATGAATTTCCTCCTCCTTGGACTAATTTAATATTTATGAAGACACTACTGTCCTGCCGTGCCCACAAATCTCTGGTATTACTAAAGCCAATCAAGCAGATTGGCAGACTGGGAGAAGGCAGAATTCATTGTTTCTAGACACCGAGGAAAAATGTCACGTCAATGCAGAAAAAGAGTCTTAGGTTTATCGCTTCTGTTTCGTCGCCTCTTTTCTTTCTCTGCATTGGCAGCCTCTCTTCAGACACACCAGGCAGGTACTAGATACTCACTCACCTTCACCAATCCCCGAATCAGTTTCTCTGGAAGTGTTTAAAAACTTATATCTAAAATTAAAAACTACAGCCTCCAGGAAGATTTCCAATGACTTGGTCACTTTTTTATGTGTCAACATGCCAAATCATATGTTATGATATGCTATTATGGGGTGTAGGCGACACACACTGGTGTTCAGGGTTACTCCTGACTCTGTGCTCAGGCGTGACTCCTGGTGGTACTTGGGGAAACATATGCTGGATTCCCAGATTTAGCCACGGTCAGGCACATGCAAATGCTTGTACATCGCTCTGGCTCCCAATCATTTCTTTGGTTTTAGAAAGTTATTTTGGAAAGTCAGGACATAAGGTAATGGTGATTAAAGAATGACAGAGTTTGAGTTAGAAGAAGAGGGACAGATAGAGAATGACTGCGTTTATTTGTGAGATATTAAAGAAGAAACAGTATGAAACTAATATCCGAGACCAGCGAAAATGGGCCAGAAGGACAGACCGATGGTTGGGAACTAGCACCAGGGTGTGGGGGGTGGAGGGTAGTTAAGATAGAGGAGGGTCCATTATGATAATACTAGTTAGAAATGATCACTCTCGGCAAGAACTGAGTGTTGAAAGCACATGATAACTGTTCAGCATCTGTATTGCAAACCGTAATGACTAAAATGAGAGAGAGAAAAAAAGAAGAGGAGAGAGAGATAGAGAGAGAGAGAGAGAGAGAGAGAGAGAAAGAGAGAGAGAGAGAGGAGAGGTGCCTGCCATAGAGGCAGGCCAGGGTGGGGGGTGGCTTGAAGGGATGGGAGGGAAACTGGGCACACTGGTTCTGGAAATTAATTACACTGGTGAAGGGATGAATATGGGAACATTGTATGACTGAACTGCCATCATGAACAGTTTAGCAATGCTCTATCTCACAGTGATGCAATTAAAAAAAAAGGAATGACAGATGAAATTAGGGGCAAATGCCAGGCAGAGAGGTAGTGGAGGTGGGACCTCCAGAGTTCTAGATCCATTATGGGCTCTGGCAATATGTTACATGGCCGAGATCCCTGGGGCTGCCAGGAAAGCAGCTGACTCTAAGGTGCCTAGCGCACCCTCCAGATTCACTCCTTCGTTGGGTGGCACAGAAGGAATCATGCTTTCCACGGGATTTTTTTTATCTCACAAGGTAAAGCTAGAGAATTCATGCTTCGCCCACCGAAGTCTTCAATTACAAAGCTTGTGGTAAAGTTCCCTACTGTCAATTTTTAACACTGGGCTCAGAATTCCCAGTGCAAATTTACACTTGGTTTTCCAATTAAAACGGGCTTATGTGAGTCCCCTGCTGATAGCCATTGGCTTGATAAAAAGTAACTTCATTTGCAAGCAGGGTGTTAAGGGAACCCAGAGCAAGACTGCAGCCACTGCTACTGTGTTGAGCCCAGCTGTGCTGAAATATTAAACTTTAGTAAATTGGGTGAAATTGCAGCTTCCCGGCTGAAACAATAATGCCCCTTTCTTTTCCTGCAAACCATCGTCAGTATGAGTTGTCGGCACACTTCGGCTCCCAGAGAAATACCATCCGGACTATCTCCTAAATCCAGGCAACTTTCTGAGTTTCAAGATAATTGTGCCATATTCGACTTCCCTAATGGGACGCCTACCCTTGGAAACACAGCACTGGATTTACTTGATTGTTTCAGCATTCTCGGAATGGAGCCTTATATCACGATGCCCCACTCAGATAAGCACCAGGCTCATGGGGAAATGCCAGGCTTAGGGGAAAGTTGCAACTTGTTCTTTATGAGTTTGCTCATGTTTTTACAGCATTTTGAGAAATCAGGTTGTGGGCGTATAACATTGCAAGTTTTCTATCTTTCCCTTTGTAGTGACAGCATTCATCCTAAGGTATTTTTTGTTTGTTTTTGGGCCACACCTGGCATCGCTCAGGGGTTACTCCTGACTCTGTGCTCAGAAATTATTCCTTGCAGGCTGGGGGAACCATATGGAATACCGGGTTGGCCACATGCAAGGCAAGTGCCTTACTCACTGTACTATCTCTCTGGCCCCTCATTCCAAGGTGTTTTTATCCATGATTCAAATATTTCTTGATCAACTACTTTGTGCAAAGTTCTGGTTTGTTTGCAATCCAGAACTTGAAAATTAAGAGTAGATGCAGAACCGGCAGAAAAGGAAGTAGACAGAATAGTCATTCTCTTCATGGTAGGTTGTTAATTTTTCCAGTGAACAAGTCACTGGTGACAACTTTATTAGGTTGTCTGCCCCAGCCCCTCCCCCCATTAACAAAGCCCTCACACTGCCTGTTATTTATTTTCACTCTTCTTAATTATTATTTTAAAATGTTATTGACTGAGATCCTGTGGTCTGCAATATCGTCAATAATGGTTTCTCATGAGCATAATTCCGACCCCATACCCAGCACCAGTCACACTGGCCTTTTAAGTTAAGACCTTTTGAAATAGAAGCATTTTTGTTACTTGGGGAAAAAAATTGACTCATGAAGACTGTTCGAGGCTTAAAGCACAGTTCTCAAAACCTTTTTTTCAGGTTTTTTTTTTTTTTTAAATCCAATTTCTGCCAAGAAACAGCGCTGTAGCTACTATGGGTACAGGGTTTATGGTTCTTGGGGACGGCTATGCGGGGAGACTGAGTGGGTGGGGGCTTGCGCGGTCTGTGGGCCACGGAAGGATAGAAAGCAGCTTCGGGCTGATAGGGCGCCCCACTCACTCCCCGAGCACTGGAAAGCCAACCTCTAGCCGCGGGCTCGGGGATGCCGAGAACAAGATGCTAATTCATGCCACAGGGGGCCATCAGGATGCAGGGAAGCCGGCGGCGAAGAGGGTCGGATGGAACGTCTCTCGGCTCCTGTGGGCCGGTGGATTGGTCGCCCTGAGCCAACTCTGCCCATCCGGTGCATCTTGGCACCCAGAGCGCCCATCTCCGACCTGCACGCAGTCTTCCACAGACGTGCTGGGAGAAATTCAGCGGGACTCATCTCCCCAAAGCGGCAGGGGCTGGGTCCGGCCAGCAGGAGGTGGCCTGGCGCGCCCCGCTTCCCTCCCCGCCTCCCCGCCCGGCGAACCCGGAGCCGGAGCAGACGCCCGGGTCCCCCCGCGCACTGCCCCCGCCTCCCCTTGCCGCGTGCGTGCTGGGCGCGGAGCGCCGGGCGCCGCGGGCTCACTTTGCAAAGTTTCCCGAGCGCGTCCGGTCCCGCGCGTGCCGGGTGGGCTGCGGGGGCCGCGGCGCGGGAAAGTTGGAGCCCAATCAGCGCCGAGACGCGCTCGGGGCCGTCAGGTGACCCCGCGCGGCAGCAGCGGCGGCGGCGGCGGCGGCGGCGGCAGCGGCGGCGGCAGCGGAGGCTGCGCCCGGAGCCCGCAGCCGCGGGCAGCGCCTCGGGGAGCGGCGGCGGCGGGTCGGGGGTCGCGGCGAGCACTGGGCACCCTGACGGCGAGCTGCCCGCGCTGCGCCCCGCGCCGGGGGCTCAGGATGCGGCCGGGGGGCGCGCTGCCCCCGCTGCTCGCCTGCCTCGGGCTGCTGCTGCTGCTGCGTCTGCTCTGGGGCTCGGCCGAAGCGCCTGCCCGCGCCAGGTGAGCCCCCGGCGCCCCCCCAGCAGCCCGCGCCCCGGGACGAGCCCCCCTCGGGGCCGGACGGGCGGGCGGGGATGGGGCATCCGGAGACGCGCGCGGGGCGCCGGCACCTCGGACTCGCGAGGACTCGGACCCTTCTGGACGGCTCCCCCGCTCCTCAGCGGCTCCCGACGCGGAGCCGGACCCGCCGTCGGGTTTCCCGACCGAACCCCCGGGCTCTCAACGGAGATGGGGAGACCCCCGCCCCACCCCACCCCCACCCTCGAAAACCTCCGAATTCCGCCGTCGGGGTACGGGAGCCGCGGGGGCAGCCGGGCGCGCGCGGAGCCGGGCGGGCGGGCCGGGCTATCCCCGCCAGCGGCCACAACTTAGTTTCCTCGCGGACTGTGCACAGGCTGGCGGCAGAGCAGAGGCGGGAGGGCCCCCGCGCCACCGTGGCCACGCAGAGGACGCTCAGGAGCCCCGCGACCCCGCTGCCGCCGCGCCCCACCAACAGGTACGCGCGGGGGCTCCCGAGGGGCGGGGGCGGGGGCGGGCGGCTGTCCTGGAGGGCGCAGGTGTCACTTGCACGTGTCTGCAGCTGGGATCCTGGAGGGGGTGAAGGGGGAGAGAGAAAGAGAGACAGGGGTGGGGTGGGGGGGAGGAGAGTGAGGGAGAGAGGGAGGGAGAGGGACTGGGAGTGGGAAAAAGCACGAGGGTGCACACACTTCTCACAATCTACCCTTCAAAGCCCTGATGGCATGATGCATCTGTGTGTGTGTGTGTGTGTGTGTGTGTGTGTGTGTACGTGCGCGCAATTGCAAGTGCACGAGTGTGCAAGCGTCCCTCACCCTCAGTCTCATCAAAGCCCGGAATGAGCGCGCGCGTGTGTGTGTGTGTGTGTGTGTGTGTGTGTCGGCAGAGAGGGACAGGCAGACCTAATGAGTGTGCACGGGTGTGCAAGCGCCGCTTGCTCCCCTAGCCCCGCAGGAGCCCGGGACGCGTGGCAGCAGACAGCCGGGAGTCGGCGCCCAGTTCCCCGCGGTCTCCGCGCGGCGGGTGCAGCCCGCGAGGAGCAGCCAGCCTGGCTTTCTCCGTCAGGGGCTCTGGCAGGCTCCGCGTTGGGATTTACTTGCTTTCATGGTGCGGTAAGAAGCTTCACAAAGACGAGAAAGCAATTCTGTGTGTGCAAAAGACAGGGAATGATTTTGACTCGAACATTTGCTCTTTTCACTCACCAAGGTACGTTTGTTTTCCCGGTGGATTCTTAAAACAATGTAACCCCTTAGTGCTGAGGGCAGATACTATGAGCCTTCTACTGGGGGAAGGAGGGGGAAACAAAATCCCACCATTCAGAGTTCCTGAAGGGTATGTATTGATACACGTAGATATTATTATATAATATATATATAATCTTTATATACTTGTAGTCTGTCTTTCCTCCTAAAAGTTGTGAATTCACACACATATGTGTATATATGTATATATACACATGAATATGTGTATACACACATATGTGTGTATATGCACATGAATATGTGTATACACACATATGTGTGTATATGCACATGAATATGTGTATACACACATATGTGTGTATATGCACATATATGTGTACATATACACACATATATGCATATATACATATATATTCTTATATTCCCATTAAAAAAATTCACCAATATGTCGTGAAAACAGTTAATCGCTTTTGTTGGGAATGTGGTGTGGAAAGCCATGTGGGGATTTCTCAATAAAGCAAGACTTAGAAATTTCATATGACCCAGTGATTCTACTTCTTGACGCACACGTCCCCAACTCATCAACAGGAATTTGAAAAGATGGGCCCACTCGCCTGTGTTCATTGCACCAAAATAGAACATCCAGCCAGTGGGAACATCAGCAATTGAAGGAGGGGCAGTTACGCTACCAGACATAGTGGAATACTATGCAGCTGTAAGGAAAGATGAAGCCAGGCAGTTTTGCTGCATCACTAAGGTGCTGTGCTCAGAGAAGCAAGTCAGAGGGAAATGGACAAACACGTGATGATCTCACTCTGGAGAAACAAACAAAGGAGTAGACAGCAGTGGATGAAGACAGAACCTTGTTCTGGTGTCATAACACTGAGATTACCGGACAGCTGGGGAGCGTTAGGAAGGGAATGAAGAAGTGACTTTAAGTGACATAGAAGGGTGGTGGAGATGTGGTACACAGACTATCAAAACCACAAGTGTTACAGTGTTGTAGCGAAGTTACCTAAACTGTATATATTTTTTAAAGCATCTAATTTCTGTCTTAGACTTGCTAACTTACAAGGCATTGGCTTCTAAGATTCTGCTTTAAAGAGAAGTTTCTATTCTTATTTACTTCTAGTTTCATTATTGCTATGGCGTTGCATGTATATGTATAAAGGAAGTGGTGTTATTATAAGTATTGTGGGTGTTATTTACTGAACTGAGAAATTAAGTTTTGTTTTAAAAAGAGCAAATAAATGCTTCAAAAAAATTTTCCCCACCAACACTGTTTGGAGGGCGGAGTTTGGCCCATGCCTACAGTGCTCAAAGCTTACTCCTGGCTCTGTGCTCAGGGGTCTCTCCTGCCGGTGCTCGGGGAACCAAATACAGTGCCCAGGACCTAATCAGGGTCAGCTGTGTGCAATATTATCACCTTCAACCCTGGGCTGTCTCTCTGGCCTTCCAGTATTGCTTTTGCTGCTTGCATCATTCATTGTTTGAACGTGCTCATCATGTGTTTCCATTTTTAGACATCTAGATTGGTTCCCTGTTTGCTTCTGTTTTGTTTGCTATTAATCATTGTATCTAGTACCTCCTTGGAAGTCAGGAGTTACCTTCATTTAAAAGTGCAGGCTGGAGTGAGAGGAGTTGGGTTGCCAGCTGCGCGGGAGTTGGCACCTCTGCCTGCCTAAGGCCTGTGCTTAGGGCAAGGGCTGGTCAGTCAGCAGCCGGCCGCCTGCTCTCTGCGCCCTTTGGCTGTGCTGTGGTGCCAGGTTTGAATGCTCCTTCCTTCCATCTTTTGTGTGTCCCTTTGCTCTCCGGATCCTTCTGGATATTCTTAGATCTATGACTATTTTCCTCTGGAAGGGCTTAACTCCAGCTCCCTGCTGTGGCCCCTGCACCACCCAGGGCAGAAAACAAACTGGAAGTGCAAGAACAAAGCTGCCCTCAAATTCCACAGCACAATGGAGGTGCTCAGAAATCTGGGAGGAAAAGAGCTTTTCGGGAATAATCTCTTCAGGCAATGGGATGGATGGGGAGCAATAGTACAGCGGGGAGGGCATTTGCCTGGCATGCAGTTGACCCAGGTTTGAGTCCCAGCATCCCATAGGGCCCCCAGAGCCCACCAGGAGCGATACCTGAGAGCAGAGCCAGGAGTAACCTGGAGCACTCCTGGTTTCCCCACCCTGATAATCTCTCAGTGCATATCTCTAAAATGAGGATGGTGATGGGTTTGGACCAGCTCCTTCTGGCCATGGAAGTTTCAGTGAGTGTCGCTTCCTTGTTCTCTCATTACTTCCCTCTGGAGTGGGCAGGTGGGAGGAGGATCAGCCCAACTGGTTCAGTTTCTGCTGAGTTGTGCACTGCAGGTAGTCTGGCTTTCCAGGGAATGTGGGGTGGGGGAACTTCCCACCTTTGGGATGCATATACCCTGAGGCTGCCTGGTGGAAGGTTGAAATGAGTGTATTAATTAAACCACCTAGTTCTGGAGCTTTCCTGAGCTTATTCTATGATGAACTTTTTCTATTCTTCTGCCATATTTCTTTTGTTACATGCTATACTTTTTGTTAATACACATAAGTCATCTTTTATTTTTTCTGAGTGTGGTCCTTTTTATTATTTATTTCTTTATTTTGGTTTGGGGGCCACCCCTGGCAATGCCTAGGGTCTCAGGACTTATTCCTGGCTCTGGAATTCCTGGAATCACTCCATTCTAGGAGTAATAACTCCTGGCACAACTCGGGATCATATGGGGCGCCGAGGATCAAACCCTTTTGGCCTCATGCAAGGCAAGTGCCTCAGCTGCTGTACTATCTCTCTGGCCTGTGTGTGTGTGTGTGTGTGTGTGTGTGTGTGTGTGTGTGTGTGTGTGTGGTCCGTGTTATTACAGTTTTTAAATTAATTATTTTTTTGTAACCTGAGTTTCAATTTTTTCAATATCCCCTTTATCATTTATGATGTTAATGATTTAGCAGGACTGCAAAGTCTAATCCCTACTGCTTGGTTTCTTGAGAAGTGGTCATTTCTTAATTTTTCTGTGGTTGGCTTGAGCTTCCTCAAATCAGCCTTTCTCAACCCTTATCTACCCATGACCCCTCTGGCCTTCTTTTCTTTCCCAGGCCACCCCCACTTCCTGTTATCCTACTGGCTAGTACCATGTTCTACCATGTCCTCCACCCCCTTCTCATTGTGGCCTAGAGACACGCTGCTCTGATGCTGTAGCTAAGGAGTGATAAGAGTGGTGAGGGTAGCTTGCTGACTGGGCCCTTCTCCTGGGCCCGAATGAGCTTCTCAGAAGCGATTATTAGCTTCATTTGGTCGTAGGGAAAAAAGGCATTGGGAGATTAATTTCCCAAAGGCATGGAATTGTGGAGCCAGGAATCAGGTGCTGGCTGAATCCAGAATCCCATAGGCGCAAATGTGTGTGCGTGTGTGCATGTGTGTGTACAAGTGTGTGCGTGTGTGTGCATGCATGTGTGCCTATGTGTGCGAGTGTGTGTGTGTACATGCAGACAGACCCTCAGTCTTCAGACCCCTTACACCATCTCTTCTTACTTGAAGGTGACAGTGATGCCAGGGCGAGTGACCAAACGGCTGTGGTGGTAGAGTGGAGAGCTGGGGTCCGTGGGCTGGCGGGAAGGCTTTTGCCTTGTGTGTGGCTGCAACTCTGGTTTGAATCCCAGTGCCAGCTACAGTGTCTGAGCACCAACAGGACTGCGGATGCTGACCGCAATCCAGAAGGAGTTCCTGTAGGCCCTTCCCCGGCACCCCCCACCCCCGAAAAAAGAGTTGGAGTTCATGACTATGCCATCCTTTGGCTCGTCTGATCTCCCCTGTAATGTCTATTTCCCACCAGCTGGCTGACCAGACACCCTCCTGGGAGCCAGCTTACGAAGCTGCAGCTGCGGCTGATGCAGTTTCCACTCCTGCTCTTGGTCTCACCTGAGCTCCCTCGGGTATTAGCTCTCCACAATCCGGTCAAGTTCCCCTTTGGGGGCTGCCCCCAGCCGTGTCTGCAGCATTTGCCCATGGCCTCTCCACCTGATTGCTCCCCAAACTTCCAAGGACCCAAGTAGGCTCAGTAAAGAGAATCAGCACCTTTTTGTTCGTGTCTCCTCCCCACCCCTCAAATAGATGTGACCTGCTCTAAGTGAATTTCACGATTAGGAGATGGCCCAGGAGAGGATTTCTTTTCACGGTACTAACTGGGAGAGGGTCCAAGTCCCCTCTCTCCCCCGCTTTCCTCCTCCCATGCCTCTCTTTTTTCTCTTGTGCCAGGCAGGGC